TAACACTTAGTATGTTTCTGGATTTACAAGGAAATGGAGAGACCAAGGAGGAATTCTCAGGAACACTCTTTAATGGTGCATTATTCCAGTCTCCAGAAAAACTGAAAACTAGGCTGGACCTGACACAAGGAGAGGAGGCCCTTTTACACATTTCGTGGTGTCAAGAAATAGAAACACAGAAGGAAAAGAAATGCACTTAGTAATCTTAGAAGCTGAGACTATCTTAGCCTTGAGGAGAAAACACTCCTGTGCTTCTCCGGGACCTGAGGCTGGTTTACAGCCCCTTCCCTCTGAAGGAGGAGATTCCTACAGGAGAACACTTGACCAGTCTCCCTTACCAGGGAGGAAAGCCCAGGACCACAGTGCTCTGGGGACTGGCTTGCCTGCAGCTGGAATTTTACAGAGAAAGAGAGAGAAAGGCTAAGTCTCTCCTTAAGTTCTGCTAAGTATTCAGAATTCACAAAAATAAGTATGTGAGATATTTCGGTTCTCTCACTGCTATGACCTGACAAAGACATTAAATGGGAAGCAGGAGCTGAGGATAATGAGATCCTGGGCTTCAGATGTGTGCAGGTCCCAGGCCAGGACAGCACTGCCTGTGCTGGAGAGTGGGGGAGGGGAGGGCTGTGGCTGAGTCCCTTATCCCCGCCCCTCCTCCAGCCCAGGAGCCCTTTGTGATGAGGAGGCCACAGCTCTGTGATGCAGGCCTGGGACCCCTCCCTGCTTCCAGACAGAACCCTCAGGGCTCAGTTGCCTGAGAACAACACTGCAATTCAGATGATGGAGAACCTTCTCCTCTGAAAAGCCTTAACACCATGTGGCTGAGCCCCAGCTCCACCATATTTGCCATGGACATGGTCCTCGCCTTTGTGTGTGGACTGGGGCTGTACCTCCTGTTACTGCCCTGGCTCCCGGCTGAACCATCCTTGCCACCATTCAGGAGAACTAGAACCATCAGAAAGGTGAGAAACCCACAGCTCAGACCCAGCAAGCAGAGAACGATCTGCTCTCCTTCTACCAGGGTTCACTTTCCAATGTAGAAGAATGAGAATGCAGAAGAGAAAATCTCAGGAAAGAGTAACGCAACCTTCATCAGGGACAGCTGGGCCAGGGCAGAAGCAGCAGAGCATCTATCTGATGCTCTAAGACCACATGTGGTTTGCTGGCCAGAGTAAAAGAGAATGCCCTGACTCAGTGGAGGATGCCAGGATTCCTGAGAGATGGGGGCCTTGGGGAGGGAAAGGTCCTGAGTGTCAGGATCCAGTCTCTGCCCTGTGCTGGGCAGAACTGAGGGCTCTGAGCTCAGGCCTCCTGTCACAGGCTGGAGCAGCCTGTGCACCCAGAATCCCAGCTGACAGCAGAGACGCTGCTTTAGAAATGAGTCCAGGAGGGGAGTGAAGGTACCAAGCTGAATCTCACACACAAAGTCTTGTGTGTGTTTCTGGGAGAAGGACGACAAAAACAATCTTTAAATACGTTTTAAAAATGAGCAAGTGAAAAAAACACAGGCTCTATTAATTCCATGTCAGCTTCCCAATGTTCATAAATATGAGGGTCCACAGCCTCTCTGAGAGAGGAGAACCAGGCCTGGGCCCCTCACAACTTTCCCTCTTTCTCAGCGTCCAGTGCGGATGAGGTTGAAGAACAGGAGCAGGAAGAGGACTGGCGCGCTCACAGGTGAGGCTCTGCCTTCCGGTCCTGCGGCCCCAGAGCCAACATGACTGCTGTCCCCAGGGACCAAGGCCCGGGCTCTCAGGATTCAGCTGCTGAGCCCTGAGAGGAGGCTCCAGGGAAGGCGGTCAGCAGGGGACGCTTCTAAGGGTCCCTGCTCAGAAAGAACCTGTGCAGGTACAAAGGCAATTTGGAATGTAAAGGAACTTTTAAAAATTTTATGGTTAAAACCACTCAAGGATGGGACTGGGAAGCACAGCCTGCTCCCATAACTAAAAAGCCACAGAGCTCAGTGAAGCCTTGACAGCCCCCATGCCAGGGGCAACTTTGACCATCAGTGTAACTCAGCGGGACAGTGTATCTGACTACACAAACTTGCTTCCAAGTCCTCAAGGGCAGACTGGCCCAGGTAAAGAAAAGAAAGTGAACCCTGGTAGAAGGAGAGCGGATCGTTCTCTGCTTGCTGGGTCTGAGCTGTGGGTTTCTCACCTTTCTGATTCTGCTCACCACAATCCTAACCCCCCGTTACAGGGTATCAACGCCAGTTTTGTACTTTCAGCTTGCAGAACTGTGCAAATAAAACCCAACACCGACTCACTACTGATGATTTGGTACTGAGATTCCCTTTACCCCACTAGTGTAATGAAGGTGTACGCCTTCCAAAGTTCTTCTGGTGCCTTGTCTTCCATCTGCTCTGCTCCTGAACCCCAAAACACTGGGTCACAGGAAGGAGATGCCCACTAGAGGTCACTGCAGGCAGCAGTGGAGCCAAGCAGCTTGGACTAGGAGTTAGACATCCTGGTCAAACTGAGGCCCAGCTGTGACAGCTGGCTGAGGCTGATTCCTGATGAGATGACCTCATTTGCCCAGCACAACACACTTGTGAGGACCATGGATGGGGAAGGATGTGGAAGCACTTTGTAGTGACTAAGTGCTGCCTGTCCGTGTACCAAGTGACCATGGTCAGCCAGGGCCAGAGGACACTGGGCAGTGATGCCTGGGCTCTGGAGTCTCCTATGGTGTCCTCTAAGGAAACATTGCCTTCAACCTTCTATAAAAATCTCAATCCCCTCCTTACCCTTCACCCTCTATAACCCAGGGTCCTACTTCCCACCTTTCAAAGATTGCCAGCTTTATGGGAAGTTGGATAAGACCTTAGTATCACTTCTGAAAAGGTAAAAAATTTTCCCTTTCTTCCTTCCTACAAAGGCCTGTGGTGTCATCAAGAAGCACCTGGGAGGTAGGGATGCTGGGAGGGGGGATGTTAAGGCCCTGGGTGAGGGATAACAGGAGGCCGTGAGGATGGGGCCGTGGAGGGGCTGTGGTCCACCTGAGATGGTCCCCATCCATGGGTGCAGACAAGCCTCCTATTTATTACAGCTTCAAGAAGCTGCTTCCTGACCAAGGAAGCCCTCAGCAGCCCTCACATCCACAATGTCATCCTCCTGTGTGCAAGAAAAAACCTGCCACAGCCCCACAGCCATACAGGGAGCACGAGGACTCTGCCACTCTGTCCTCAGCAGAGGCTGACTCCCCTCCTCTCACTCAGCACCTTCCACCTCTGGCCTCCTCTGCATCATCAGGCTGGTCCACAACCTCCTCGGATTTTGGGGATTCAACTACATCATTTACAGCCTCTCAGCTGCCAGAATCCCTGCCTCCCCTGGAAAGAATTTCACCCTGCCCACTTCCACACACCTTCTCCCCGCCATGTCCCTCCGATCCTGCCACAACCCCACAACCCTGGTGGGACACTACAGAGAAGCCAGATCAGCAGCTCGGTCCTCATCGGCTCTCACATTCTAAGACTGCGGGGATCCACTTTGAGCAGAAATGGAACCAGCTGTTCTGGGGTCTGCCCTCTCTGCACAGCGAATCTTTGGTGGCTGATGCCTGGATCTCGCAGAATCCATCTCCTCTACAGCCTCCGCCATTCTTATTCAACAAAATCTCAACTCTTCCTCCAGCTCAAGGGCAGGATAAAATTCCCCCACAGGCCCTGTCCTATCTGGACCCCCAAGCCCCACCCATGATTCTGTCCACAGCTGGATTCCAGCCCCCTCCTCCAGGTCAGGTCCTGACTCAGGCCCATCTCCAGTCTTTCCCCCAATCTGTCCTACCACACTGCGTAGCCCACGTGAGGGACTTTGGAGCAGTTTGGTCTACACCCCATAATAATCCAAAGCACCTGATCCCTATTGAAATACAACACCCAGGTGGGCCCACATTAAAGACACAGACCCAGCATAAACGGCCTTCACTATCCACGGTCCAGGGCTGGCAGGAGGACTGCAGGATGCCCAGTCTTTCCCCAAACCACTGGGCCACTGCCATCCCTCCTATGGCTTTCTCACTCAGCCCGGAGCACTGGAAACTACTGGAGCAACACATTCAAAAGGTGCTCAATCAACACCATGGGCACCAGGCCCGCAGGATCCCAGAACCTCTAGAGCTCACCCAACTTCAGTGTCATGTAGCTCTCACATGCCAGGCGAAGGAAAAATGCAGCCCCTCCGAGTGCTGCTCCATGAGCACTGCTGCCTGCAGCGAGGGTGGGCAGGAGGTAGAGGCCCGGGCAGGCAGGGCCTGGGACAGGAATGTGGGCCGTAGTCCCACAGAGGACAGGCCCATGTTCTCAGAAAGGGCCTCTGTACCCTTTCCACGGGAGATTTCTGCACAGTCAGCAAGAAACATGATGAATCCCACAGACCAGGATGCAGGAAATGACAGTCAGCTAGTGGCCATGCTGGAAGTGCACTTGGCTGTGAAGTCCAGGCAGATCCAGCAGGGGCTGATCCCCTTGAGGCTGCGCCGGTCCTGGCTTTCTGTCCATGCAGCCTTTCCCACCACATGCATACCAGAGATGTCATCTTCAGCAGTCAGAAAGCCTGCAAGGGCCCCTCTCAGAGGCTGCCCTCTCTAAACTCATGTACTCTGAAGACCCTGGAGGTGCACAGGAAAAGGGTTTGGGTAACACACATGTGGGGCCTCCCCTCAAGCTGCTAAGAGCCATCAACCACCTCCAGGGAAACAGACTCCACCCCAGCCCTTCTGTAGTCTGCTTGCCCATCCAAAGTCCTCTACTGTCCCTATACTGGACAGACTCCTTGTCCTTCCAACTGTGTGGAGGGAGACTGAGAGGGCCCTAACAGGGATCCCCTCCTCCCCCACTCTGTGATGCCCAGGGACCCTTAATGGCCCCTCCAGCTGCACAAGGCAGCAGGCAGCCTTCCCAGCAACTGACTCACAGTCTCAGTGGCACAACCCACGAGAGCAGAAGCATCCTGGGCACCAGCAGAGGCACCCTAGAAGTCCTGGATGTTGCTTACAGCATGTGTGGTCCCAGAGGCAGGAGAGCGATGGCTTCAGCCAGGCATCGGGAATGTGCTTCAGCACAGAGTGGAGATGAAGTCAGTGAACCAGTCTCAGGTCTGTGCCCTGCCTCTGCAGTTTCCAGACTTGTCCTCTGATGCATGCCAAGCTGCAGATGATTTGCCTTCTGTGACATCCCAGGGCCGGCTCCACAGTGTGTCTCCTGGGACCAGGCCTCTTTGCAGCTGATAGGTGACCTAAAGGCAGACAGAGAGAGGAGCCTGGGGCAGCACAAGCCCACGATCCAGCGCCATCAACACAGAAGACAGAAAGCAAGGTGTCTGCCCTGGCTGAAAAGGGTGAGGCCAGCAGGGACCCATTGCAGAAAACTGTGAGTACCTTGCGACCTCCACACCCACCCAGGACTGGAGAATAGAAGACACCTTTGAGAGAAACACTTTTGGATCCTTTTACGAAAGAAACTAGTTCTTTCGAGAGGATTCTTCAAAGGTAGCATGAGGACATTTCTACTATGGATTTCTCCTGAGAAAAACATCAAAGAGCAGGAAGAACCCCAGAGAAAAGGCCAGACTGCACCTCCTCTGCCTGGAGCCAGACAGCAGCCAAAACCAGCTCCTGTGTGGATCACACAGTTGCTGGGACTCAGATTCTCGTGCAGGATGCTGGGCTGATGTAAGATGACAAGTTAATTAAGTGCGAACTTCTTGCCTTGGAGTTAAATCAGCACAAAGAGAACAAAGATCAAGCCTGGTTCTCCGGGGTTCCCTACAGCCACCATCCTTCTAGACAGATCACAGGAGAACGCTGGGATATGCAGCCACACCCAAGGAAAGGCACCCCAGTGCCCAGGGGTCCTTGAACACTGCACAGTTCACCAGTGGGCTACAGAGCTTTCAGCATCCCCACCTGGTGCTCTCCTGTGGACCTGTGCTCACAGCGTGGGCAAATAGTGCCCAGGGCCTCAGGCCACCATCACCACTGCCACCTCCTTTAAGGAGGTGTTCTGTGTGTTCAGCCAGAAAATTTCTCCCCATTCTTTCCCAGTAGGAAAAGACATCACCAAGAAAAATTTAAATTCATTTGCAGAAAAAAATTTTTTCTAATATTACCCATCCATGTTCATTACTATTGCCCAATACACCTATTTTTCCTCCTAAGAGGGTAATGACTTCTGTTTGTTCTGTGCTTGTGAGAGCTATGGTGTCTACAACAGACAGGGTGTGGGGCAGCGTGACAGAGAGGTGCAAACCTGCTCTTGCCCTGAGTGCCTCTACTGCTCCTTGAATTTCCCTAATACCCTCATTTCAGGAACAACTGAAGCTCTAACAGCTGCGGTGACCCCACCTCAGGAGCTGGATGAACCCATCTGCCCAAGGTGCCCTCTGCCCAAGGCAGCTGCAGGCACCAAGGTCAGAGACGTTATAGGCTGAAGATCCCCCCCACAGGGTTCAGCAGGGAGCTGAACCCCACCCCAGGGCGGGTGGCAGGTGGCACAGGAAGATGCTGGGCTGGGTTCTGAGGTCTAACAAATTGGCCCTTAATCTTCTAATGGGAATAGATGATGCCTGCCCCTGTGCTGCCCCTTATCTTCCTGGCAAAGGCCAAGATGGAGACAAGGCACACTTGGTTCAGCTTTATGGAAAGTTCAGAGATCCCATTCCAGAGCCCTGGGCGGCCTCATGATCCAGGGCCCTGGTTTGGACAGAAAATCCAGCTCTGTGTAGCACCCTGGGAAGGGAGTGGTCAGGGAGGCCACTGAGCCATGTCCATCCCTGCCCCATGTAAGCAATGTCCCTGCTCTTGGATCCCCTGCCTTGGTCTATTTTTCACGTAGGTCACCTCCTGGTCACAGTAGTGGGTGAATGGGATAGAAAATGTGCCCAGGAATTTATATTCAGCCCCTGGGGACCGAGATTAGGCTGCGGGAGAAGCATTGAAACCAAGCATTGGAACCAAGGAAGGGTCTCAGGGCGGGAGATCACTGAATTGTACAGGGCACTATGCAGACCTGAAGCTGGTCTGCCACCCACCGGCAGAGAAAGGGAGAGATGTCAGGGGCCAAGTGGTTCATCCTGGCCCCACCTCAGAGCCCAGCTGTTCAGATCAGACATGACAGACCTGGAGAAACTAACTTTAGCTCCCACACAAAAGGCCAGAAGCAGCAGGGAGCAAGGCAACCTGGGGAAGATGAATTTATTTAATACATTTGGGAACTTCCTAAGGCCTCTCTCCAATTTTAAGGAAGGAAGAGAGCACAAACAATGGAACATGATTTGGGGTTTGGTGACCTTTAGATATTTAGGCACACAGACTCAGGAGTATTCTTGGGTTTATGGGACTCAGAAATGTTAAGGGGCTGCCCTGGGGTCACACCATGAGTCTTGCCTGAGTCCCAGCCCTTCCTTACTCCAGAGACCACAGAGGAAAGGGGAATCACACAAGGTATGTTTTATACACAAGAAGCCTGGGAGGACCTGTGTAAGGGGGGGTGTGTGTGCTCATTCTGCTGCTAGTGGGGGTGTCCCTTGCTCCAGGACATTGTCTTTATGAGAAAGCAGAGGGGCCCAAAAGGCAAGGAGAGGAGCAGCCGTTTCTCCAGAGAGCATTTCCTGGGCTGTGGGACACACAGGGCAGCCACGGGCATAGTCCAGGAGCCTCGTTCCTGGGTGGAGGCTGACCCAGGCAAAGGCAAAGGACCCTGCCCACATTATGACTGGGCTGGCACTTCCAGTCTGGCTGCAAGTCCTAGGTGTCTCAGGGACCTGGATTCTTACATCAGCCTGTGCCACAAGAGTGGAGCCAGCATTTTCAGGAAGGAAAGAGCCCTGGACCACAGAGTCACCTACTCCCGTGGAAGCTTAGAAGAAGCAGGCACCCTGTGGAACATTGTCTTCAGGAGGGGCTATGCCTGGCTGCTGCTGGGTTTTCAGGACACCATGAAGAATGTTCTGGAATGAAGAGGACACATCCTCTCCAGCAGTCTGGGGAGTCACTCATTAAAAGGTCCTTTCCTGATAAGGGGGAACCCCTGAGCAAACTGGCAGCCCAGGCAGGAAAAGGGTCTTATGCTGGCTAAGCCAACAGGCCATGCAGAACAAAGGACTATGTGCTTTTGTCCTTCTACGACTCAGTCTCCATTAGGTACAGTAAAGCCAGCAATGTAGACCTCCAGAGACCTCCTAGAGAGGTCTCCTCTACAGACAGGACAGCGAGAGACTTCTCACTGCCTGAGGAGTGTTTTCCACACTGAAACCTCCCTCAGAGTCTTCTCACAGGACCCTCATACAGCTCTGAGGCCTCACACTGCCGCTCAGAGACCCTGCACAGAAATTCCCAGGGAGCTGTCCCAAGCGAGCCCATGCAGAGGCACCCACACAGGTCTTCCACAGAGCCCTCGTGCACAGTCCCCTCAGGGACATCCTGTGCCCCACAGGCCCTGATGCTGAACCTGCTGAAGAGTTTTCACACGGGCCCTTCTCACCGAGCCTGACAGGGAGACCTCTCACACAGATCTCCCCCAGACACCTCATACAGAGGGCACCCAGAGCTGTCCCTGCCCCCGTCAGTCCTCCCATGCACACTTCACACAGAAACTTCCCAGAAACCTCAAAGGACGTCTTCACAGAGACCTCACTTTGGGCTCTCCCCAGAAACCACACACAGAGACCTCATACAGACACCCGACACATCCTCTCCAGCAGCCTGGGCAGTCACTCATTGACAGGTCCTTTCCTGATGAGGGGGAACCCCTGAGCAAACTGGCAGCCCAGGCAGGATTATCATGAGGTGCCCCCTGAGAGACCCAAGGCACCCAGACATTATCAGCATCACACCAGATTGCATCAAATGCCAGGAAAAATGGTCACAATGTTTTTTCTTTTATAATGACTTTTCCTCTGAAAACAAAGAATTACAAATCCTCTGTGTAGACCTCCAAAATCCTTTCCCTCACAGGTTTTCATTAGCTTGAACTTTGACCCACAAGTGTGGAGAATCACAAAATCCAAACAAATAAAATACTGCCAACCTTGAAGGAAAAGAAACACTTTCTTTGTTCAATTTGTTATCGTCCAGCAAAATAATCAATGTTACCTTTCTTATTTCACTGAGGAAAAAATCTAAACATGAGAGATTTGCTTCTCTAGTTTGCAAATATGATAAAGACCCATAGCAAATGCACCCTAGCTAGATAATAAATCAGCAAGAGGAGACTATGTTCACACTGGCCTCCAGGGTGCCTCAAAACTGTGACATTAAGCTAATAGTTAAATGAAGAGACTCCTGGAGAGGTGACTGGGTAAGACACTACGCTCATCAGTGGAAAGTGCTATTAGGACTTGGGGCCCCGGGGGGATTTGGGTCACTCTGGACATGGCCTTGAAAGGCAGATCTCTCACGGGCACTCTTCCCTGTGCTTGCTTCTCAACTGCATAAAGTGAGCAGCTTTGCTCCACAACAGCCTTCTTTCTGCCTTCTGTTGCTTCTGTTTTGGAGCCAGCCAATCATAGAAACTTGGGGAACTATGAGCCAAATTCAGCCTCTCCTGCTCTAAGCCCTGAGTGTCAAGTGTTTTGCCCTAGCAGTGAGAAAGCTGACTAACAGAGTGGCTAACACAGGAGTTTGCGCTTGACAGCTGACATCAGGTTTGTAGGGTGTGATTCCACACTTAGGAAGCTGAGTCTCATACAGACTTTATAAAAACAGGTCAATATCTGCCAATATTCATGTTCTATCATGTGGTAAAATTGTATTTCTTTTTTAATTGTTTATCAGTACGTTTTAGGTATATCCTAAAGGTGCATCCATCAATGAATCACTTTCATCATGGGGAATTTGTACCGGTATTTCATATAACTTGATTCTTTTTTCCCCATTCTTCTACCTTCCCTTCAATCCCACTTCCTCTTCTTAGTCACAAAAGTTTTGTTTCCATTATTTCCTTCTTTTTTCATTTCTCCTCTTCTTTTCCCCTCCCCTCTTTGGTTACCCTTCTCATTTCAGCATTTTTCTCCTACGTCACAATATGTTTTGTATTTGGTTCTTTACGTGCACTTAGTTTTCTCACACTAGAGAGACAATGTGGTATCTACTCATGTGTGCCCAATTTAATTCACATAAGAGTATGAACTCAAGGTGCATCCATCTATGAAGAAATGGCTCAAGTTTATCTTTCTCTATGGCTCAGTAGTACTCCATTGCATAAAAATCACATCTTTTTTTATCCATTCAGCAGGTGATACACATCCTGGCTGTTTCCAAGATTTAGTTATTACAATTTTTGCTGTTATAAACATGGGTGAGCATATATCACTGTGGTATGATGCATTTTTTGCATTTTTGCATTTTTTGACTCACAGTAAAAAAAAATGCATCAGTTTCCTAGGGTGCACACAGTTTCCTAGGGTGAGGAACATGAAAGGGTGGCAAGAGGTGAAAAAATAAAGACCAGGCGCAGAAAGCTGGGATCAGATGAAGCCCTCTCTACTGATGGGAGAAAAGGAACCGCACCCTCACTGTAGGGGCATTTGTTTATACACTCAGCAATTTAATGCTGTACCCTTGGGTTGCCACACATGCTAGTAAACTGCATATATGGTAACCCAAGGGCATGATGCTTTGGGGCCTCCAGTTATTTCTCTTTGGGACTCGCCCCAGGGCTGTCACTGTTCTCCAACCCAGATGGCAGGCCCCCACAGGTGTGGTCAATTG